ACCATGCACCGCTTTTGTAATGCAAATGGAAGGCACAAAGTGTCCCTTTGATAATGTGCAGTCAGGAGACAAAAAAAGCATTCACTGCAACAGTAAAACTAATTCATAAAGCTGAGAGACAATAGGAAAGCATTATGTATATTAAATAAAAAATAGTAATTTCTTGTAGATCAACTTGATCGTTAATGTAAACAGATCAAATGCAAACCAGAAGGAACTTGGGAAAAAAGGGGAGAGACCCAAATGGCTCTGCTGCCACCTTAGCTAACCCTGGAGAAGTTTGGGTAAAGCAAGAATTTAGAGTTCAGCATTAAGTCAATGTACAGTTTGTCGCTGGAGGGCTGATCCTTGGGCTTTATTCTGGATACTGAGTTAGGCTGGGTTTCCCTTCAGAAACAAGAAAATCACAGTGCTGGGATTTCTTTTATTATTTTTTTTATTATTTTTTTATTTTGATGTTAGAAAACAGTTAATAAACACTCCTGGGGCATAAATTTTAAGGGGGTGATTTCTCTTCATCACTTACCTGAGTTTAGCTCAAGGTCATCTCACCTTGGTGCTGAGCTCTGGGGGAAGCAGAGGGCTGGAGGAAGGGGATAAAAGGGCTTCCAAAATGGTTCTCCCAGCACAGCCACGATAAGGGCAGCGCTGGAGGGTTGCCACAGCCTCCTCCAAACAGAGCATGCAGCCTTTCTCTCGGGGATTGCTTCTGCCTCAGTGCCGTAGTAGAGCTGGTGGGCAGCCCCGGTGTTGAGCCGGTTCGGTGCCGTGAGGAATTGGTGATCTGGGGGGTGAGCAGGGCAGGATCGTTTTTCCCATTTTTCTGGCAGCATTATGATGCACTGCTGTCGCAGAGGAGGAGGGGAGGGAGTGCTATTGATGCTGGGTTACAGATAAGATAAAGTCTGTCGCTGCCCTGGCATCCAGCATTTGCTGCCTGGGGTGGAAAATTTGAGGAAAGGAGTACATTTGGACAAGGTGTAGCATTAAGAGACAGCCTTGGATGCTTTCCATCTGTACCTAATGGAGACTTTACCCACCATCTGTAGTCAAAGGTGATAAAAAAAAAACAACAACTAATTGTTTTTGCTAAAAATGCTCTCAAACTGCATTAAAAAATGGGCTTTTATTAAGACCACTGCTCTCTAAATACCATTCATAAAACAGTGATGAGAAAATATGATGGAAAGTTAAATTTTTCTCTCTGTCACTTTGATTTCTTTGTTACTGCTAAAATGACTGCTCTGACTCATATTTTGCATAGTTATTTTTACCTTTTCAAATGTTCCTTAACTGTTCATATTACCCTGGGCAAATCCCCCAGGGATAATTTTCATTTGCATGCAGACTTTGATGGTGTTATTAAGCAATCACTTTCTGTACTAAGTCATTATTAAAAGTAATACCACAGAGCCTCAAAAACACATTAATGGTGCCAAACAATCCACATTTCAGTGCTGGATTTATGGAAAGGGAAAAGCACAAGGTCTCATATCATTCAGTGGCTGCTGCTCTATAGCTCTGTAGCAGCAGCAGGCTTGATCAGAAAATATCAGAGCCAAATTCCGAGCCCTTATCTGTTGTCAGCCTTATTTCTTTAAATGCCCTTTTTTTTTTGTTTTTGTTGTTTTGGGGTTTTTTCTGTCTGTTTGTTTTTAACCTGACTGCTTCCTACTTGCTTTTCCCCTTGGATTTACCCTTTTTCCTCTGGCCTTGGCAAGAGAGCCTGTCTGCAGTCTTCCAGTATACACAAGCTGGGCTGGTTCTGGGAAGGAGGGTCAGCCTTCCCATCTGTAATCACCGTTTTATGGCTTTCACTCGAGGTGTTAATGCAGATCAAATGGAAAACAGTCCAGCATGAGTGTTACAGCTTCTCATGCTGCCCTGCATAAGGTCCCAATCGTTAATTCTGATTGTAAGACCTAAAGGTAATTCTGTTTGCTCTCCTAATGCATTGCAGCTCTCCCGGTGGTCCGGTGTCTCTTTTCTCCAATTCCCATCTTGATCAATTGTTTGCAAATAATTAAGCTTTTAAGAGATAATGGTAGGAGCTAATGTACACAACAAAGTAAAGGTCTCAAGTCACTGTTTATTGAACAGTTTGCCTTGATATCCCAAAGTGATCCAGAGTGATAGGTGGACTTGTCAGCTGGAGTCACTGCAGTTTTTTCTAGTCATTCTTTCCTGTATTATTTATATATTTAGTAAAATTGTAGACTATCTCAAGTTGGAAGGGACCCATAAGGATCAAATCCAACTTTGCCCTCCTTGCAAGACTACCTTAAACTTAACCATTTGACTAAGATATGTTTTATACATATTCATGCAAATATAATCTATACACACCAATATATATTTCTATATCTATGTGCATTTGTCTATATTCCTTCGAACAGCCATTAGAAAGTTTTCAGAAGACACTGGTCATTCTTCTGTAGGTGGAGCAAAGACCAACATCAACAGTTTTGACTGAATTTCCTATTTCTTCTTAAAATGGCAGTTGTCAGTGTTTCCCTCTTTCTCTCTGTTGCAATGTGATGTCTGCCTTTGCCCGTAGCACAGGCCTTCCAAGCCCTGTGGGTGGGAATGCAACAAGGCTTTGAATGTTTTTATAGCAACCTAGCCTGTGGCACGCTGATTCTTTGTCATTTCTATTATTTTATTTTATTTTTAGCCTACAAAGGAGCTGTGATCCACAGAAAGCTTATATAATAATGTTGCTTAGTGTTTAAGATTACTTTAAACCACACGGAATCGTAGTTAAAAAGCCCTGCCGCATTGTGACCCTTCAGCTAAGAGGGATTAGCTGTGTGAAATCCCAGGCTGTCATGTGATTATGGCAATTACAGATTTATCATGAAATTAAAAGTTTATGCTGTACTAGGATATGAAAAAAAATAAAATAAAATGTAATCAGATGACCTTAGACATACCACAATTTGAGGAATTCATAGTTTGGGACTTTTAAAGCAATTATTTTTACAGTGACAATATTATTCTGATGGCTAATTTTATCCAGTCTTGTCTATTTAAAAAAAAAATATCCAGAACAATTGAAAATTGCTTAATGGAGACAGACTTCTCAATTCCAATAGCTAGAGGCTGTCTAGTAATTATTGCTTGCTGCATGAAATTAGACACAGTTTGTTCAATTACTTAAAATTAGATCACATGTAAGGTGGCAAAGCAAAATAAGGAAAAAAAAAAAGAATAATTCTGTCCTCGCTTGATAGCAAAGTAATGAAAAGAGAAGTAAGCTGTAAAGATGAAAATGTTACAAATCATCTCTGTAGGGTTTGGAGGGGTTTTTTTTTTTTGTTGAGGAGAAGAAAAACGTTGTGTTCAGATAGATGGACATGACTGTTGTGGATGAAATGTGTGTAGAAGGCAGACAGTAAAATACATGCTGTGCTTTTGCAGGTGTAAAATGCAAATTTCCCATAAAAAAGAAGTCAAACCCCCTTCCCTCTGTTTTTCACTTTACAATTCTGGAGCTGTTTCAGGCAAAAAATGCAAGGGATGGTTTACAGGTGTGCAGGTCATCTGTGGGCTTCCTGTCAAGAGAACTGTACTTTTAAAAGAATTGAAAATTCCTCAACATTTTTTGGGTGAAAAAAAATATAAAAAGTCTCTTATGGAGCTGGTGGCCATGGCAGTGGGCTTTGAAATGGATGTGTTGAGTTAGGAGAAGTTGGTGGAGTTAGGACAAAAATCCCTGTTTAGTAATGTGAGGTTATACTTGCATGTAACAAAGCCACGAGAAGTCAGACTGTGCTGTTTACAAGAATATGTAAAAAACTGCTAAGTAGCTATAATACCAGTAAGATTGTGGAATTTTATGAGGTTTTAAATTCTTATGCTTTACAAGGTTTCAGTTTATGTCTCATGTAATATTACACTGAAGAATACATGCAGAGAATGAGGGAATAATTGGGGGGAAAAAAGGGATGAATGTGTAACAGTAAATGCTTTGTGACAATCAACTGCTAAATGGTGTTGGGATAGGACTAATCATTTATATCAAATTATCTTTATTGAAATGCTGTTAAGCACCTTGCAGCAGCCCAGGTCTGAATCAGATATATACTGAGACTCAGGCATCCAGGTTAGGAGCTGAGCCAGTTCCTCCAAACAGGACTTTTTCCTTGATACCATTGCATTTGCAGTATTTGGCCATTTCCTTTTGGGCCATTGACATTTTTGCATAGATGGGAAGGACAGAAATGATATTTCTACATTTCAGACTTGGTTGTGGTTTTTGCTGTTGATTTATTAAGCAATCTGTATTCATGCAGAAGCGAATTTTCTGAGAAAGCAAATCAAGTTCTCACAAGAAACTTATGATTGAATTATAACATTATCTTCAATTAAAGGAGTATTTATTTGCTGTCTCTTAGGATTAGCGCAGCACAGCTATGCTAATGTCAGGCAAAAATGTGCTGATTGTTGACCTTGTGTTGGCCTGTGTTCAAAACACAGGCATTTGTTTATGTTCAGGATGCTGATCTTATTTGCAAATTATTTTGGGGCACTGGCAAGTTTTGTCTTCACTATCTCAGAAAACATCAGTGTGTTTTAATTTTACAGAGAAGTGCTTTATCACATTCTTTGTTGTTCTGTTAAAAACTGAAAAAAGAGGAAAAGAGATAGATTCTTTGACTCTAATCAGTCATTTGAGACAAGTACAAAAAATGTTCAGCTAATGCAACAAATATCCTTCTCAAGTATCAAGGTACTGTCAGTATCCTAAGCAGTTATTTCTCCACTTCACTAATCTTTATAATTGGCTTGTCTTTTACTGCCATTAATTAAGTGATGTAGTAGCCCATTAATAATTATAAAAGAGTGACACACCTCAGCATTTTCACCTTTCAGTAATAGATGTCACGCTTCTGTTTTGGTTTGGTTTGTTGTTTTTGTTTTTTTTTTAATTTAAATTAAAAAGTAGGACAAAAAAGCACATTGTTTTAAATGTTTGTATTTATTTTGGTGTCTTATAGCACCCTTACCCTTCAGAAGAGCAGAAAAAGCAGTTGGCACAAGACACAGGGCTCACTATACTTCAAGTGAACAACTGGTAAGTAATTTTCCTTGGTGTTTCTATGTGGCCACTGGCACCCTCTGGCTATTCCTTTGTGATTTTGGGGACACACCTTGCCCTTGTTGTTCCCTTCTCCAACAGTTTATTGGTACAAAAGGGATATAACCAAGTGAGTGGTTTCAGGTGTAGAAAGTATGAGGTTTGCTACTGTATTTCATTGAGGCAGATCTCAGTGTATTCACATTTGACACCAGTCCTCTTTCTGGCTGAGGATATCTGTTCTTCAATAGGAAGGCACATCCATTCGCAGAACATTGGTCTTGGAAGAGGTTCAGATGTTGGGGGCATAAAAGGGACAATTGGTCCCATTTCTGCTGAGCATATTGTTAATTGGGGCTGCTGTCATGCTTTTTATAGTGTAGTTAGAGGGTTTTTTATTTTTGACTGACATCCTTGTATCTCTTTATCAGTTTGTTTTCAAAATCCAGTTTATGAATAGACTTTGAGGACAGTCTGGTTCTTTGCTGCTGAACTACAGTATGGAGCAATTTTATTTATTTGCTCCAGCTCAGGGCTGGTGGAGCCCTTGCTCTGTTATGGTAGGGATCTGTTTGAAGGAAATTGGGATCTATGCTGTTTCTGCAGTGGATTTTGGGTTGCTAACTGTTCAGGGTGTGCTGAAGGCAACCACTGAAATTGACTCGTAATTTAAGCATCATACAGCAGCAAACCTCTTTAAAAAAAAATTTGATTTATTACCCTTTGATACTGTATCAAAATGTAGGTTCCTCCCACTATCCCAGAACAAGTGTCATACTTGAAGTGTATTGCAATCTAATACCTTGTAAAACTAAGTGTATCTAATTAATTGTCCTAATATTTTTAGATTAGTGTTTATGATGGGAAACCTTATCCTCTTTGAAGTAATACCCAGAAAATGGCCAAGGCAAACAGCAAGCCTGCTGGGGAAAAGGGAGGGAGGAATGCCAGTTTGCAGACAAAAGTTGTTTCTTTTTTTTTCTTTTCTGTTCAATAAGTGTCAGAGATTAATATTACTGAAGCTCTGATTACATGGCCTAATCCATTTTAGTGAATAAATTTGGTCTTGATGTCCATTGCACCTACATTAACAAACCCTCCTCTCTTAGAGAGCGTAGGAGCCTATGGGAGAGATTTCAGATATATTAAACCCCATTACAGAAAATGTAATTTCTGTCAATATAATCCCATGTATTCTTCAATTTAGTACTTTAGAGATAACAAGCTACTTACAATATATTTGCCTTTGGAGGATTAATTTACAAAGTGCACTATCTGGGAGACGCAGGCGGGCTCACATAAGCATAGCTTGTAAGGGTTATCAATTTCTGTGACCCCACAGCAGCCCTGGGAGATCAATTTTTTGAAGCCCTTTAAGATGCTGAATAAAGGAAAATACCAAATACTTAGTGTATATGAAGTATGCTTCCGACATACTTACTTTAAAATGGAGGAATAAAAGGCACAAAACATAACATTTACGTGTTCTAAAGTGGTCTAACCCACGGTGTTTTGGCTCAGCCAGAAAAAAATTAGTGTTTGCTTCAACTTTACATCCTCCAGCCTTTATCCAGGTGTTACCCTAATTTATATGGCTGTCCTTCAGTTTAACAATGGTTGCTTTGGCCCACTGAGAAGCTGTCCCACTCATCAGGGTCTCGTTTAAGGATGGGGTGGAGAATGGGTGTGTTGCTTCTGTGAGGTCTGGGAATGGGGGATTTAACATGGACAAATGCATCAGTTTGGGATGGTCCCTCAAAAGAAATTTTTCAAGATGATGAATGTAGGATGGATTCAGCTAAAACTGGTGGAATTTCTCCAGAGTGACCTTCAGTAGGTTTTCTTTTTGTTTTTTTTCAAGGGTGTTTTTCAGTACCCATCTCTCCTCAAATATGAGGAGTTTTCACTTTGGCTTTGTGTCAGGTGTGTTCTTATAAGTTCCTTATGTGCAAGAAAAAAAAAGAAAAGGAGGTCAAAACACATTATAACTGAAGTCTTGTGGATGTAGGGCAGACTTCCTCTGCTTGAGCTAGTTCAGTAATTCTGCTCTGGTGTTACAATTGTATAAATTATTGAGACAATTCCCCTTCTCTCCCCTGAGGCACAAGGATTTAACGCTATACAGGCAGTGGGGCTTTCTTAAATCACAGGTGGTGGGCAGAGATGCCAAAATATGGCAATCCAGGCCCTGCTTTCTGTAAAGCTAAGGAGCAAGGAGACTGTGAAACCCTTGCTGAGTGTGCAGGTTGCACGGTGAACACCCAGCCATGAGTGACCAGTGATTTACTCATCCCCTCCCAAATCCTGGGGGCTATGGAGCAACCTTCTCAAACATTTTGCTGGATCCCTTTTCTTCTAAGGCAATGTGCAGAAGAAACTCTTCCTACCTAAATGTTTTGCTGCAGGGAAGAGCTAACATGTAATTTCTGGTTAGTTGTGCCTTTCTTAAGCAGGCTCATAAGTCATTCAGCCACAACTCACAAAAAAATTTGCCTTCCTCCTTAGATTCTTCCAAACTTGTTAACACACATGTACATTTTTGTATTAATGATGAGTCATTGTAAATCACTGTTGCAGAGATTAAATAAAATGCTGAAGGGCAGGCTGGGTGCAGATCAGTCATAAATTATTGGCAGCAACACAGCATGTGGGAATACATGAAATGTGCATGAAAAACATAAACTCATGTCTGGTAGCATGGTCGTTAGCCCGGACTGGGAATGCTGGATTTTCTGGCTGGAATTAGAAGTTTGCCACAGACCAGTCAGTGAAGAGAGCATTTGTTTTCTGCAAATTGAGAGCATTTAAACAGATTTTTTTTGTCATATTTTGAATGCCTTTTCAGTATGTGCTGGTTGCCTACTTCAGTTCTCTGCCGTAATGAAAAAATTGTTGATTTTCACATATGGACTGCCCTGGTGTGGGGGCTCCCCAGGCTGATGCACATAACCCCTGTTGATGGTGGAGGAGTCACAGGAATGGGATGATGATGTGAAATGTGCCAGAAAATATATCTGTGAAAGGGCACATGTCTTTAAAAATACCATAGTCCCTTTACCATGACCCTTTTCATTGGGCTGTTTTTTGTTTTTATTTTTGAAAGTAATGAAATAATCCACACAGAAGATTTTTCCCTTTTTTTCCCCCCACCACCACATGACAACTTTGCCTGTGAATCACCAGCATTGCCTTCCAGGACCATCTTTTTGCCTCAGTCAGATGTTTCTGTTGTGGGGAGAGGGAGCCCTTACCCTGTTGCAAAATAAAAATAAATCTGTGGAAGGTAGGAAGAGAGCAGAGTTCAAATGTCTTTAGTCCAGATGAACCCTTCAGGTCCCTGTCATGTCAGTTGTTTAACCCCACAGCAGTTTAGGGTTCCAAGCACAGTAATATGAACAAGAAGGGGCACTTGTAGGATGCCTGTATGGACACAGTGGAGACCTGAACAGGTACAGGTTAATAAGGTGCTTTTCCCAGGTGATAAAAACAATGAATTGAAATATCCAGGTGTGATCCAATCACTTCCTACCTCAGCTGTGAGAGCCAGCCAGGCTATATTGAACAATCTATATGGTTTTCTTGTTTACTACATCCCAGCTGAATCCCTTCCCATTAAGTGCTAATGGTAAATAATTACTGGCAGTAGTCTATGAAGAAGAGAGAGCAATTCTAATCAAGGGCTGCATTAGGTGTCAGATGCTTGTTTATGTTTTAGAAAAGTCTTGGTGCACACAGATGGATGTTTGTATACTTGTAGAATAATGTGCCTATATAACCTCCCTATATGTGCATGTCTGTACGTGACTGTCTCTCTAAATAGTGTTGCATCCAACTGCATCAAAATGATCAAAAAAAAAAATAAAAAAAAAATTGAGAATTCAAATCCTTAAAGCTCCAGCCTTTATTAGGTGTTTCCATTCTGCTTTTTCCAAATACCCTTGTGCTATGTAGGGCACAGCCCAGACAATGCTGGAGCAGCTAGTCAATATTTTATCTTGCCCTCATTCTTCCGTGCTTCGTTTGTTGAGCTGCATTCAAACCCTGCTTGAAGATGGAATTAATAATTACTGCTGGGCTTTCCTATGGCACTTACTGCTGTAATACCCAAATCCTTCTCTGACCTCCATGTGTGTAAATATGCATACAGGGTGGTGGGTCTGCATGGTATTTTTACAGTTACCCTGCAAAGAGAAAGAAAATTGTTGTCCTGGTTTATAGGGGAAGAGGTGAGGCTCGTAGAGGTCCAGGTCCAGAACAGTCACAAGTTTTGGGTTGATCTGGTACTGTGAGGTGACTCAGAATTACAGCAATTTTTTCACATTTTGGGTCCAACAATCATTGAAACTTCATATTTCATGGAAACTCTGAGTTTTGAGTGCCTTGTTGTCTTACATTGCCAATATCCCCTGTTGGGTATGGAGAAGTGAGAAATCAGTAACTTATGGTGGAAGTTCTGGGTTCAGTGATTTTCCCAGTAGCTCTCAATCAGTCCAAGGAAGCAGCAGAGCTGAATCCTCTTCTCCAGTGCAGCATTTGGCTGTATGAACCAGGACTGGTTTGCTCTTCTTCCTGCCTTAGTCATTTAACTTTGTCAAAGTTTATTACCTGTAGAAATAGATTTTTTTTAATTTTATAATGCCCTGGCCTGTTCTTATAACAGACATAATTGTCATTGGGATGCTTGAGGCATTGAGCCCTATGAAAAAATGGTAGCATGAGCTGGTGACTGAGCTGTAATGAAGTACATCAAAGACTAGGGTGCAAGCAACTCTAGTAATATGGTGTCCTAACTCTTGATTTCTTGATTTTATATTCTTGGCTTCTTTAAATGTCAGTTTTATATATAATTTCCTAGGCTTGCAAAAAAACTCAAAGCAAACACCAACCAAACTTATTGGAAAAAAATATCTAATAATATAATAAAAAAATTTCCCTAATCTTATTCTTGGAGTCAGATGAAGTGGATTTTACGGAAACCTCGTAGGAAAGACATTTCA